AGGGAAAATGCTAGAAAACTGCTAGCTGAACAGATGCATTGCAGCATAATAATCTCACTGCTTAAATAACCATCACCAAATAGATCCCAAACATTATGTAGAAGCAATTAAAAGAACATTTATACAAAAATGGAGACACACAGGCTTAGCTTTTGCTCAGATCCCTCCACAGAGTCCCTGCACTCTCAATGGCAGTCTTCCTTATCATGAAGGCAGAGGCATAACTACGAATTTTGGTGCCCCTGGGTAAAGATGTCCGAGTCAGGGCTACTGAATGCTAGAGAGTCTTATGACACGTGGGCTGCTGGCAAGATGTAGGGTCCTCAGTTCTGCCACTCCAGCACCGGCTCTAAATTAGTATGTGGGGCTGAATCTCTGCTCACCACCCCCCACCTTTACTATACTACTGCATGATGGTTACCAAACCGGAGATGCGTTTGCAAAACTGGGAGATACGACAGTACAGGAAACACTAAAAAAAGGGAAGTTCTCTGGAAAACAAGTGGGTTTTGTATATCTTTGGCTAAAGCAGTAATTATGCTTAGATTGAAATCATAAGGCCTGCCCAGTGAAGAAATATTTACTCTTTGAAAGAATATCACAGGGCATGCTAATTCCGTCCCCAAAATAACTCCTAAACCAAATAATTGCTTCCCTTCGTAGGCTTATTACAGTATTTAATGCTTGATCAAGCAAACCCCTTCTCATTAGACAGACTGATTCTCTACCAACAATCTGTCCATCTAATGTTGAAAATATGCCAGAAAAGTTTTCTTAAAATGGTCAGAAGGATTAAAAGAAAAGTGTATCTGTTATTCTGTTACATGCTTTGACCTACAAAAACATCACATGTTCACAAGTGCTTAATTGTTACAAACATAGCAGAATGCTTGCAAGGGATTTGTTCTTGAAGTATTATTGCTGTCATCCTAGCAAAGCGAAGTTTCATCAAATCTATGGTTTTACTAACATTTTGTTTGCAGTGTAAGGCCAGATTGTACCACCATCCCTTATACTGAGTTGCACTTTATTCCCAGTTGACTTTAATAGGATCAAGCTGCATGTGTGTGTATAAAAGGATAAGAGAATCTGGTTCCAATGCCTTAGCGCTACTACAATAAATTTGGCTGGGTTTTTTCAACTATGGAATGGATTTAGAGTTGTAAAACACACCCTTACTTTAATTTACTATTAAGCATTTAAACCAAGTTTTAGCCTTTTGTGGTTATCATTTCACTTTGACTTCATAGCAAGTGTCCTTCCAACTCACCTGGTTTAACTTCCAATGGAATTCCGCAGGTTTGTAGGTCTTTCCCTCTGAAGGATCTTGGCGGAAGAGGAAAACAAGTCGGCAGTTGTGTACGTAAAGAGAGTAGTGGTGCCGGTTCATATCTGCACAAGAGATTGGATTCAGGTTATTCCTTCTCTCATTGTCTTGTTCCCTAGAACTCCAGAACTAAATGCAACAATCCAATTCCATGTTTTATATGTGGGTAGACATGATGCTTCTGAGGAGGTTAAAGCACACACATTTCTTGCCCCAAGAAATCTATCTAAACTAAATGCACAGATAAGACACTAAAGGGAACAAGGTGGTGGGAGCAAGGATGAAGTCATTTCATATCACTCATATCATACATAAATCAGCCAAAGCAGCAAAAGAAAAGCAGGCAAACCCTGGGAACTTTCTATCCCAATAGTACTATTTGCCCTCACTGTCCCACAATACATTTCTATGATTAAATACTGATAGCCCCCCACCCACAGCCCTATTTTTTTTTTTTTTTAAAGGAATGGGCTGCTAATATACTCTACAGCATACTGTTGAAATGAAGAGGAATTAGTAATTCCAGAAATAATCAGCTCCACACAGTACTGTATTAGAGTAGGGGTAACTGCACAGGCTGTTTTGGAGATCGGCATT